AATATTTTGTACGTAATTTTATACTTCCAGGATAAGAACCTGTCTATACTTCTGAGATGAGGCATTATGTACACTATTTACATCTTTGTTGCCATGTACATCACAACGCTCCGGCCTTCTTCAGGTGGTTAGAATGACGAACTGAACCCTTTATTTCGCTCGCTGGGGTATGTGTCCTTGAGGACATCTGTGTATGAATTCGCTCGCTGGGGCATGTGTCCATGAGGACATCTGTGTATGAATTTCTGGGTATTATAAACCTAATGTCTTCTGCAATCTTTTTTGAGCGTGCTCATATTGCAATTTTTGCTGTTATCATCACAATTTTTTTACCAGAGCTCATATTGCAATTTTCGTTGTTTCTGTTGTCTTTCTATGGCACTCCTTATGGCACAGTGGTTAAAGGCGTTAGTTGGATCCAGTGACAGGACCTAAAGTGTGTGAGTTCAATACCTGGTTAAGGCGGTGGAGAACTTGGAGAGGGGAATTAACAGAAGATAACTGATAACTGACATCCATCGCGTGAAACTAGAACAGTCTACCTCAGCAAGCGAATAAAGGGTTCAGTTCGACATTTCAACCAACTGAAGAAGACCGGAGCGTACAACGGCCGAAACGTTGTAATTTTATTATAAAAAGTTTTTTATATTTTTTTAGTGTTACATTCACGGAGGACTTACTGCCGAGTGTAGTTTTATATATATATATATATATATATATATATATATATATATATATATATATATATATGTGTGTGTGTGTGTGTGTGTGTATATGAAATGGACTAAGTCCGACAATTATTTTAATATATGTATTGGTTATACGTTATTTTTATAGATACAAATATTTAAGTAAATGCTCTGTTAATAATAAACAGTATGAACAACCAGCCTAATGTCCGAGAAATCTCAAAGAAAATGTGTCCACCGACACGAATCGAACCTGTATTCTACGCAGAACCGTCATATAGCCTGACGTGCTATACCATTTAGCTACTGAGGAAGCGTTGGTTTGGCAAGGTTAATTTACTGTTTTTAAATTACAAACTTCCCATGATTTTTCACGAACGCTCATATCTGCTCGAAGCGTAAACGAATGACATAAAATATTATGAAATATTATGAAATCCGACAATTATCTTAATATATTTATTGTTATACATTATTTTTATAGATACAAATATTTAAGTAAATTCTTTGTTTATAATAAACAGTATTAACAACATTTAGCAGCCTGAATGTCCGAGAAATTTCATAGAAAATATATGTCTTTCGACAGGAATCGAACCTGTATCCTACACGGTACCGTCATATAGCCTGATGTGCCATTTAGGTACAGAGGAAGCATCTAGTTAGCAAGGTTGACTTACTGCCTGTTGAAACTTGACTAATGCATGGAATAATAATGCAACACAAAATGTACTTAGAACAAAATGTATTGAAACAAGAAAGTGTACACAATATTTACATATAGTCTATTGTATATTCCTGGTAAGACCGTTCCTGGCGAATGTGTTGACTGAGTCGCAGTCGGGCAGGGTCTCTGGTTGAATCTCTTGATTCCTCCCTCTCATCCCGGTACCAACCATATTTATATGGTCGGTACTCCACTATGCAAATTAGGTGGATCCTACCACAACACTGCCTTTTAGTATACAATTAATATACAATTTCCCATTATTTCTCTCGAATATTCATTATGAAATTTCTCGGACAAACTACATAAAGGATTTTTTATCTGCATTTCCCCGTATATGCATCTACGGGCCAGAAAAAAGATAGAGAACTGAGGAAAGCAGCGCAAAACCTACCTTTTGAGCTTGAGTGAATGGATGGCAGATCATTTTTTCGGAAAGATGACAAAAAGACAAAGGTTAGAGCGGCAAAGAGCTAAAAAGAGTTACATAGGGAAGGAAATTTTGGAGAGCCATAATCGCCAAAGTCCTGAAGTAACATGGCACATACAAGAAACAGAAGAAAATTTCATTATAAATTTTAATTTAATTTTATATTTTCTTTAACACGTAAATAATATTATCGTTTGAATTATATGTGTTCACAATATATATATACTTATTTTTCTTAACATGGCTTTCATTTCTCATCGAATCACTATATCAAATCACTATATCAAATCCGTCATCAAATGACTATATTTTTTCATTTATATAGTATTCGTCAATTTCGGGTGAACATGGATCTGCACCCGAAGAGTTATGCCCTCTCCAGATCGCAGATCTGGCTAGGGTTTCTTTTTAAAGATCAAAAATTGCCCATGCGGCACGTCTCCCCTCTGCACGCCACCAAATTTTGGGGAAGGTAGAAGCCAATACACAGCTTGGCACCGGTGTCGTCTCTTGAGTTTAAAGAACAAAACTGAACATGACATCGGTCTCTCTTAAGAATGTCAATAAGTGCACTTTTTTATGGTGAAATTAAACTGTTTCCTGGGCACTTTCATGTCAGATGAGATTTTACCAGACATTCGCCCAGTTCCTATCTGTAACAGGGAATATATATTACGGGTTATTATGTGCTGCCATACGATCAAAATCAGCTTTTGTGGGTCTAACTCAGTGTTTCTCAACCGGTGTTCCCAGGAATCATTGGTTTTCGCAAGATGACGCTAGCGTTTCCTCGATAAACTGTGATAAATAGGTTAATGCATTTATTAGTAATTTTTGTTTAATTTTATATTCGTAATTTTACGATACATATACGGTATATTGTTGGAAAATCCTTGATTATTGTAATAAAGACTTCAGCCTCTTATATTATTTAAAATTATGATAATTGTCATGGGTCCTTACCTATAACTACAGAATGAACTCTTCATAACACTATGTATACTACGCCTCTCAAGAGAGAGGATTGTATCGAGTCGAGCCGATAGTAGTTCACTCCAAACCAGACTGACAGTCATACTAACATCTTCCGCATCTTGTATTATTATTTCGTGTAATATACCTTCGTTATTTCTACTCTCGTGTTCGTGTTGTTCTTCCTTGGTCCTAACCTGGACCATAAAAATAATCATAGGAATGTATTTAGCAACGTCTGTATAGCGTCAGTGTGAGACAGACTTCAATGATTAGTGGACATGACCTGTACATAGCAGATCCGTGTCTCATTGAACGACTCACACGAATAGAGGGCGCATGCCCCGGTGTCCATATAATACGTTGACCACGTGAACTACGATTAAAAAATATCAAAGAGATACATATTAATAATTTTTGCGTGGGGCTTTCCTGAGATATGGCAACTATTTCAAAGGTTCCGTATCAATGAAAAGGTTGAGAAAGATTTCTCTAACTCAGTGTTTCTCAATTTTTTTAAGCAACGGCACACCTGGGAGCAAAGGAAAATATCATGGTACACAGAGCAAAATTTTTAAAGGCTATATATTTAAAGTTTATGGAATCAAACGATAAATTAAAAAAATACGCACACACAAATATGAACTTACTTTATTTCAATGTTTCTGTTCAAATATTTGTACAGCATATTTAGTACTTTTTCGCGATTTCTTTAATGTTTTGTCGAATGAGCAAGAAGCAGGCCCTCATTTTTTCTTCAGTTGAGTGTAGTCTTTCTCGCTTCTTATTTTTGATGTTATTTACGGCTGAGAAGCCTACTTCAAATAAATAAGAAGTAGAAAGTTGCAATAAAACTGGTAAAGTCTTTTTAGCTAAAGTAGGGTATTCCTTTTGTATTGAAATTCAAAAATGAATCAATGGATATCGTCGAATGTTATTTCCCCTAGATCAATGTTTCTCAACCTTTTTAAGCAACGGCCTACCTAGGAACAAATGAAGATATTACGGCATACTTAGAAAAATTTTTTAAGGGTGTACATTTAAATGTTATTAAAGATAAACATAGATTTTTTAAAAATGCACACAAAAATATGAACTTACTTTATTTCAATGTTTCTGTTCAACAATTTATGCAGATTATTTAGTGCGAAAACTTGCCTTGTGTTATTTTTATTTTTATTTATTTATTTATTTATTTTCGATTTCTTCAATGGTCGGTTGAATGTGCAAGAAGCACGCCCTCATTTCGTCTTCAGTTGACCGTAGTCTTTATCGCTTCTTATTTTTAATGTTACTTACGACTGAGAAGCCTAATTCAAATAAATAAGAAGTAGAAAATTGCAATAAAACTGGTAAAGCCTTTTTAGTTAATGTTGAATATTCCTTTTGCATTGGAAATCCAAAATAAATTACTATTTCGTAGCACACCTAAGAGGATCGCGTGGCATACTAGTGGTTGGAATCACTGGTCTAACTAATAAAATAATAATAGTCATTAGTATTTTTTTTTTTTTTTTTTTTTTTCAGGAACCTTTTTAGTTTTATATGTGCACATGTCAGTTATATAGATGTGTGTGCGCGCGCGCACTTAGGTAAATATACCGACCTATGCGGGTTTGTATGTACTAAACTGGGGTACACACATGCCGACATGCTTCTGTCAGAAAACCAGCGAGTACGCGTAAACATCAAACATCATTTTTATTGATTAAGCGAACTTGCATTAACACCGAACAAAAGTTATTTTTTATTTTTATTTTTTTTTTGTCGGTTTTTTTTTTAATCAACGAACTTTGAAGTTGAAATTATGCCGACGCGTCGGATTAGAATTTTGATATCATTATAGCAACAACAACAACATTAACAACAACAGTCGAATACGAAAAGAAAGAAAAACAGAAGAAAAAATAGGCGGGAAAGAAATAAAACAAGGTAATATATAAAAGAAAGCAAAGAAAAAGTGTTGTTAATTTTTTTTTTTGCTGCAGATAAAACAGTAAATAGTACTTGATGCATTTTATTTTATATGCGATAATCTAAATTGTTCGTATTATTTGCCGACAAAGGTGTTTCCGTTTTGCTTTGAGCCTCGACGAGCAAAATACACATATTCAAAGGAAAATAACTTAACGATGATGAAATTTTTTAAAAAGTGAATGAAGAAGCGGGAACGAAAAAAAAA